GTGCTCTTTAAACACATTGAAAAGGATTAGAATAACACAGGGACATTCATAGCCACAGTTGTCATCGCTTTCATCAATGAGGAAGTGTTTTTTGTCTACCCAGACGTACAGTAAGTGATGATGTCAGCTCTGCTACCATTCTAGCACGCAGCCAAAGAAAAAAAATCACTTCTTTAAATCATGACGTGAAAATATGACTCAAAACATCTGAAGCCAAGTCCTGACAGAGAGATTGTCTCACTCAAAGTGTTTTTACAGGAATCTGTATGTTGTCCATGTGAAACTACTCTGTTAAATGCAGGGAGATTTTTCCAATTGCTAAGATGGTATTACATTCAGCCTTGTTTATTCCCAGTAAATGCACTCATCCAAATCCATCTGCAACTGTGATTTCAGGAATGTCTGTGGCGTGTGTTAAGATCTGAACTGAAAATTGGATTAGATTTTATGCATGCTTACAGAGACAATCGCTGGTTATCAAAACGCCTTTTAGCTCTGCACTCACAAAAGCACACATTGTGCTCCTGAGAGAAAAAAACATACAGTAAAGCCATTTCCTCTTATTGACGCTGTTGGCAAGTCTAATATTTACAGAAATGTTATGGCCTGACAACCCTCAATTAGACTTGTCATAACAGAGCTCATCCAAACGAGAGGCAGGAAGGAGGGGACGCTGGGAATGATGTCAGCTCGGTGGAGAGGAGCTGGGGGCACGGCAGCATGTTAACAGCTGTGTTGTCTCTGGTTCACTGGGACATCAGCAGCTTGTCATGTTGTCCGAATGGCAGTGTCACAAAGCACGGCGGACACTGTTGGAATGTCATCCCATGAATTAATACGAAAAGATTATTACATAATGAAATTGACATGGTAAACTGGAAGACCTTAGGTCTTAGACTAAACAACACATTTTGTTGTAAGAGTATTGTAGTGTTTAATCTTCACCTTTACGTTGTACCACACACTACATGGTGCATAAAAGTTTTTAAGCTGTCAGGTCCTAAATGCCTCTGTGGCCGAAACAGAACTATTGTGTGCAGTTGCAGCTTGTAATTCTGAGTGATCAAATTCGAAACCTGATCCCTTATGAAATAGCATTTGTCTTCCACTATCAATCTGTCCCCTTCAAAGCTTTGAAGTTGAGTTCACTGAAATGGAACATGGGGGAGAGAAAAAAAGTCCAGCTGCAATATATGTCTGAATTATTACAGGGATCTGAGTATGTAACCCTAGCCGAGGTTGTGGAGTGCTTTTGGAGTCTGTGTAAATGGATCTTGTCAGAGGTGAAGGGAAAACAAGTCTGACCTGGTGCACTGTGCACCAGGGAGGTCAGCGTGTCTGCTTGGTTCTCTCAGTCAGTACCATGTGCTCTCAGTAAGACAAAGACTCACTCTGATCATGTAGATCTAAAGACAGGTTTGTTTGCAGGAGTCCGGAAGTAAATGTGCCTGTGTTTGTGCCTCCATTTGTACTTTTAAGACACATTTTACATCTGCATTCCAAGTCAGTGGAGGTGTGTCTGGACAAACCACTGGCTTCATCCCGTTGGGGGGTGGGGGGGAGGGTGGGAGGGTGCACAGTAACTCCGATGACCCCCGTGTCCTGCCACCCCAGGCAAACAGAACAGAGTCGGACAGACGGACCTTCAGATTCACAAATATGATTCAACGTGGAGATGACGGGGCCCCTTAAATGCCATTTACTGGGCCCTGGCATGGTGATAATTGAAAATGTCAGTAAAAGTGCTTAGGAGAAATTCCAGCAGGATTATCGCCCCAGTAACATGGGCAGACAGAGGGCTTGTCTCTGGAGAGCACAAAAGGACTTGTCTCCATATCATAAAACCTGCACTGTGTCCTTGCTTTTTAAATGGAACCACTGCTATGCCAAAGCTGGGAGGGGAGTTAGAGTAACATCTTTTTTTTGAGTTGTGTGTGTGTGAGAGTCGAAGGTGGGGGGATAGAGGGAGGTTGCATTTGGGGCAGTTCTTCTCCTCTCTCTTTCTCAAAAGCCAGTGTTGTCGGTGCATCATATAAAAGAAGATATACAAGTGATTCACATGCAAATTTTTGAGGGTGATTTAGAAGAGAGGGGGGAGAAAGGGGAAACGTGCTATTGAAACCTAGTGGAGGGATGGGGGGAAGGAGGTGGGGGGTCGGGAGAAGGGACGGGGGTTTGCATTAAGCGTTGGCGAGGGAGGTGTGAGATGGCAGCGCTGTGAAACAGAGAGACATTTGTGTAATCTGGCTTTATGTATCTCCACTTCTGAATAATAACATGAAAAAGGAGACTTACCTCATCTGCCTGGTAGAGCCAAGGCATAAATAAAAGGGCAGAACAATAGAATTACTATTACCCCAGCCCCTGCGCCCAAGCTACATCACCAGTATTCTTTGGAGCCACTGGCAAGAAGATTAATGTTTTGTTAAATATCAGTGTGGGAGCATGTGAAGAGGGGAGGCTGGGGGGTGCTTCAGTGGGTCTTCTAAACTTAGTCAGCCCTCTGTAGCTCTCTTTGTAATTATGGTGTGCTGCCACGGATGTGTCCCACACTCTCCCTTCCAAAGTGCCGGCCGAGTGTTGTTATGGTTTCAGATGCATGTGTTTGTCAAGAGGATTATGGGTAATGTTCCGTGGCATCAGATTGAACATGTGAGGTTCACTGCTCTCAGTTATGATGCATTCCTCGGCTCACGGTCCTCATGGCAAAGAGTTGCTGATCAAATTTGCTGCGCCTGGTTCATCTGTGTCGGAACACTGTGTTGTCTGTTTCCATCATTAGCCTCATCTTTACAAATACAGCATGTGTGGAAAAGTCCTGTTGTGTATGATCTGTATTATGTGCCAGAGACTTTAGGCTGAATTCAATCCATACATACTTTTGGATTCCCTGTAGGCAATAACTGTTGGGGCATATAAAAAATAAACATTGTAAAGTAAAATGTATCCTGATTCAAATAAATATGGAATTACTGTAAATCAATGCCACCAAATACACTGGAATTTGAGCTTTAGAATACAGAAATTATTTGTTTAAAAAAATCCTCTGCTGTAACAATAATCTTAATGACTGCTTCCTCGATTACAAGAAAACAGAGCAAAATACCTCAGAAACCACATTAAGGATAAAAGGATCACCTGTGTCAGTAGAACTCTGCATGTTAAGCTAAATAGTAATTGAAGTATAGGTATAGTGTAGACAGAACTTTGCCAATGTTTACTTCCAAATAGTCACAAGAACCCAAAGCCACAAGTTAATCAATTGCACAATTCTATTTTATAAGAGACTATGTATTGTACAGTCAGATCAGAACACAAAAAATATCCAGATAACCCGATTTTTTTTCTTTGGTTTCCACTGCTAAGAAATTGTCATTATTAACAACACTGTGTCCTAAATGAGTCAAAATCCTTAATACCATTTAACAAGAGGATGTATCCTAATCTATGTAATATGGAACTATTTTCAGCACTACTACCTCATAGTCAAAACTGCAGTTTAATCATTGAGTTTTACTGCTGACCGTAAAGTAGTACTTCATTAAAAATCATGACACCAGCACAAAAACCACGAAAAGTAACAGTAAACAAAGAAAATCTGTTTACCTAACTTTACCCCAGTAACCCTGACCTACCCCAGCTATCACCATGTTCATTCTACCCGTCTGGTCTTCACCATCACCACCAGCCACAAAAACCCTTTTAATTGTTTTGACGTAAATGTGAGTACTCACTTACTCATTTAATGACGTAAACAATATACATACACCAAAGCTACAGACATCCCACCCCTGTGGTAGTAACGCAGGGTCGGGGGGCGGGGGACAGGGGGGTCGCTCACTATATTACACATCCTCATAAATCTACAGCCCTGTAACATTTCTGTCCGGGGCCTGTGATCTAGGGTGATAGGCATGTCCAGACACGACCGCCCTCCCTCCTGAGCCTGAGCTCTTTTCTCTGTAGCCTGTATGAAAGAAGCCAAAGGTCAGGGGTGAGTCAGGTCGCATGACAACAAGCTGACAGGCCCACTTGCTAAAGGGATGGGTGATAGGGTGGCAGGGATACAGAGGTGACAAGGTGATGGCGTGGGTGACAGAAAGTTACCAGGTGAGGGAGGCGAATGACGGCATGTGACCAACTCACCCCCATCATGTTTTTACTTTCTTTTTTTCTGTCTGTCTCTTTTACCATCCTCCTCTATCTCTCTGTCCACCTTTCACGTCTCACCAGTGATCTCCACCTGTCACACCTGAACTGCCACTCTCATCTGACCTTGACAGTTCAAAACATGAGCGGTCAGTGGTGAAGAGAGGTGGTGGGGGGGAGGGGGTCTGGAGTTGTCTCTGTCTACCTGTCAACTTACTTTGCCACTTTTACACCAGAGTTGTTTGATCCGTTTCAAACAGAGCAGAGTTAGTGCGGACAGTTTGCTTTCTGGTCAGGTATGAAAGCTGCCCAGTACTATGGTCCTCCTGAAGAGATGGAGCTCAGTTCACATGCAATTGAACCCTGTAGGGGAAAATAAGTGGACTGTCCAGCAACCAAAAGGACTGTCCAGCAACCAAAAGGACATAGTAATGTAAAGTGTAGTGTTTTTGTGTAGGAAGAAGAAACACAGCTAACAGCACAAAACCCAAGGAGCAGAGGTAAACAAAAATAATGTTGGAGGTGGTGGTGATTAAATAAAGAAATGGTCCTAGCCTTTTACTGAGCCGCGTTTTCTTCTTGCTCGTGCCTTTCCTTCCTGATCAACGCACCACCAACACAAGCTGCTGTTGTACATGGGTTAGCCCGTTTTCCAAACGATTTAATACAGGATGACCAAACCAAATTAATGTGTGGATTAATCAAAGTGATTTTTCCAAACAACCGTGGTGGAAAATCATCTCGACAAACATTCTAGTGGCTGTGATTCTGTGCCTAAACCTGGACTGCTACTTCCTGTTACTTTTTTACCATGTAATTATGATGTGTATGTGTGTCTTTGTGTATTTCAGGCTGGTTAACATCCTTCCTGTTTGCCCCCTTCGTTCTGAGTCATGGCAGTGACGAGCTGAAACATCCGAGGGAGAGGCACAGAAACTCCTGTTGGCAGTTAAAAAGAACCAGCGGAGGAAATAAGAGGTACTCCCTTCATTTCATACACCAGCAACCTCACACACTGACTCAGCAGGTGACCAGGGTTTGAATGTGTGTGTGTGTGGTGGCATTTATGGCCCAGCAGCTTACATGTGTACGCGTGCATTGGCGTACATATCAAACTTTCTAAGAATAGCTGTCTGTGGTTCCAATAATTGTTTGCGATCAGCGGTCATATTTGCACAATCTGTAATGGAACAGCTCGCTCTCAGAATATCAGAGAGACATTATTCAGCCCAGAATGAGAGAAAAAGCATTTGACCTGTCTGGCCCTCCACACACCCAGAGTGTTGTTCAGTGGAGCTCCTCCTGGGCAGGGAGGTGAGGGGAGAAACAAAAGCAGCTCTTATTGACTGGGTTAATAAGTATTCTGTCTTGGTCACGGTCAGATTCTCTCTACCTCCTCATACACTGTCTCTATGTCTCAGCCGTCCAAATGGTGCAGTGACCTCATGTCTGCGTAACACAGTTTTTGTAAACTAATGAATGACAGAGGCCCGGGATTGTACTGCTTGATCAAAACAAGGCATAGCTGTGTGTGTGTCCGTGTGTGTGTGAAGAAGCATACAGTATTTTTGTCATGTGTTTTACGTTAGCTTCTCCAAGTAACAATCAGTGTCATTATTTTATTACAAATAAGATCAGTGCAGCTGTGGTGGTGACAACAGGTGACAGTGACTCAACCTGCACTGTTAACTATTATTAAAATGTATTCTGTTGGATCCCTGAACATCCAATTCAGGAGGCCGTCTCTTCAAAAACAAATTCTCACGCTGTTTTATTCAGTTCCACCCATAGTTTGATTATCTTTCCTAAACCCTATTTAATATTATGACTAGGATTTATCATTCAAAGTCATCATAGGTAAGTTGTATTAGTTCATCTTTGCAGAAGGAAGCAAGTACTGTTTAAGCTTGTGTTTAGTTTGAAGCTTCAGTGCAGTTTCAAAGTAAAGTCTGGTAACAGAATCTTCAGTCTAACATGATTGGATGATATCAGCATTGTGCTGGTTATATGTGTAGTTTAATGCTTTTCTAATACCTGTCTGGCTCAGCTCACGTTTAAAACAACAATATATTACCTCTTCTTTACAAGTCTTTTTCTCTTGTGTCTTAAAAATCTCGATCTTTGTTTCTGTGAAGTCACATTGATGTAGCATCATAAATACGTTGAAAAAAAATACATATATAGGCTACTGTATATAAATCTTCAAACTATTTTGTACATCAGTATCATTGATGATATTTATTATAAGTATTATGTTCCACCTACTGATGTTTAAAAGGCAGTGCTTTTCTGTCCTACTGAGTCCAGACCACAAACCACGGAGTTTGGGGTTTGAAGATGTATCTTTGGGTTCTACACCCCATACTGACTTTCTTTCTTTTTTTTTTTTTTTAAATACTGACAAATCACATCTGTGACCTCTGAAGAAGGAATCATCCAAACATCATTATACTTTAGCCTCTTCCACAGCACTAATTAGAGCACATGTGTCTTTCATGTCTCGCATTAACAGTCATAATCTGCCAAAAACCCAACCTGTCCTGTCAAACCATTACTGGCTCCTGCAGATGTTGTGGTTTTATGACGTGGTGTTGTATTTGCTGTTCGACGAAAGGTACAGCCCGCAGCCTTCTTTTCAGCAGTGGTTGAAAGGTTCCTTCCTGGCAGTGTGACCTGACAGGCGTCAGGTGCCCAGACTTGCCCAGCTGGTGTGCTCCCCTGTGCCAGAGGGAAGTACGAGTGAGAGAGGGACATGGGCTCCATCAGGGGGGGACGAGAGGAGCTGCTGCCATGTCCTGCTGCTGCTGCCACTGCTGTGTTTGTTTACAGGAGCGTGCCACTCGACTGTGTGTGTGTGTGTGTGTTTTGCTAAGGGCAACAGGTCTAGATTCATGTCTAATGACTGTGGAGTATGTCTCAGGAGATGTCAACCTGCTGAAGGCACCTGGCCGCTCCTCTGCACAGCCACACGCATTAGCCTCTCGGAGAAACAGTTTACATACATGGATTCTGTGTAGCTTTCATAGGCTAGCTGTGAATCAGCAGGTCATGTGATTGTCTACACAAGTGTCATCTTCAAGTCTTTTTTAAAGGAAGAAATGGAAAATTCCAAAGCTTTAAGGTCATGCACTTAGGGCTGCCAGACCTTTTTGTTTGCTCATGCGGGACTGAAAGAGGTAACAGTCTATGTTTATATAATTTTATAGGCTTTTATGTCGGGCACAGAGAAGAAAAACATGTCTGTGGAAGTAAGTCAGTGATTTATGTCATGTTTGTACAAGTATGACCAATCCATCTCTGAGCAGGGGCTTAATTTACTTCAAAATATGACTATTATTCCTCAGAGAGGAATGTGTGTGTGTGTCGTAAATTTTAGCACATGGTAATATCAAACACCCCATTCATCTCTAATGTGTTTGCCTTAAATTTTATGCTGAGTGCCGGGTTATGTGTTTCTTTAGAAATGAGTTCGATGGCCCACATAAAGACGGTGAAAAATGTGTAAAACGTCACATCATTTTAAACAGCAGCCCTCCCTTTGTTTTGTTCCAAACATGTTCCAGTAATCATACTTGTCAGAGCCCCTCCACGCTGCCAGAGTGTGGGTAAGACACCTCGCAATTACTTATCTGCATTTTGTTGAGACGTTTATAATTCCCACAACCTAATACAGGAGCATCGACTCAAATTACAGGCTTTGAGTTACACGCTGAGAACTTATTTATTGTGGCACCTTCTCTTTCTTTGCTGGTGTCAGTCGACTACAAAACCTAATTAGTGCTTTCAGCTCAACACCCATTAGCTGAAACAGGATCCGTGGCTTGGTGAAGAAAAATAATTATGACATTCTTGGTATAAATCATTGGTTATGTCCTGCGCCCCTTCAATGGAAATATGATTTCCCACTACAAATTGTCCGACCTGTTTTATGTTCTCCAACACATAATTAAAGCCGTGTTGTGTGAGAGGAAGTAATTTGGTTCAAAGGCTTTTGGCAGCAGCGGTGCTATGTCTTTGCTGCTTGTTTGGAGAACAGCTACTAGCAAACCTGGACATGTGAGCTGTGTAATGGATTAGGAACAACAGCAGCAACATGTGTGAATAACCTGTATTTGACTGTCAGCCAGAGAGACATGGGAAATGAAATACATCACTGAGTGGCCGGGGTGATCTGTGGGTCATCAGGTCCAGCAGGGGTCAGTGGCAGAACTGTGTCTCTGACTGGAGAGAAAAACATGTACACACATTAGAGCTGCCTGAGCCACACAGGCCCGCTTTATTCCCCTCAGGAGGTTGGCCTCAGACCACAAGTAGCCATGCGTGACCCACTGTATGGAGCCGAGCATCACTAATATCCACGGAGGAGGAAGACAGTCCTCGGTCAAAGTCATATCAGTCCGACATGACAGCCTAAAGCCTCGGTGAAGGCTAACAGCTAACATGTTGTGAGGCGTGTAACTCTGTGGAAACTGTAAAACCTAGATCTTGGCTTTGTCTGCACTTTTTCCCGGCTTAAAAGTGTGTTACTTGGTTACTGAATGGACTAAACGCCCTTGTTGCTGTTTATTGTTGCCAGGACTCACGCTGCATTTGTTTTGCACTGAATCTTATAAAAGTGCATTTTTATTGAACATACCACCATGACACTTTATAGACCTATGATCTATACTTACAGTTGAATACTTTCCTATTGGGATGCCAGCACTTGAGATAACCCAGGTTAATGCAGTCTGGTTGTTGTAGTACACAGACTAATCACCTTCATACTTGTAATCCTCCTGCAGCAGGAACATGAAGTTTTGGTGTCCTGCTTATCTCCACCCTTCCAGGCACAGAGAGGTTACAGCATTATACTGTCGGTGTTGTGTATGTGGGGCAGGAAGCGACAGCCTGTACCAATGTCAGTCAGCCAAATGCACGGCCATTCCAGGGGTCAGAGGGCAAATCTTGGGGTAATCTGCTAATCCAATTGGCCTGGCGTATTCACATGATCTGCCAGGCAGCAGGACAGCCGTGGTCTGTGCCGACACACACAAACTCACATAAATCTGAGCAAACACATGTACTGTTGCACACATTCACGGGTGGCGTCGGTCACAGCTCTCTCTCTCTCTCTCCCCCCCCCTCTCTCTCTCTAGCGACCTGACACCATGACACTGGTCTGTTTGATTCCACTTAGGCTTCAAGCAGATTAGTGAAGGTGACTCCTGAGGGGAATTCCGGCACATAATTGGCAGAATTTATAAACCAATTAAAAAGCACATCTTCAAGAGCAGCGTTGTACAGCCATTATGAACTATGTGTGACGGGTGGGATAAACAGGGACATCTTACACTCATGGTCAGATTAACCACTGTAAAAGAGTGTAATGTTAGTGATAGATCTTGTCTAAACTGACAATGTTTTGTGTTGGACCTATTTTTAGACAGAGCGACAGTAGAAACCTGTATCCTCTGTGATAGCAGTGTGTTGAACCTGAAAAACCAGATACTTGCTTTTCATATTTCCCCATGAAGAATCGCCATATCATAACAAGCATTTCCCCACTTCAGCAATTTACACACCTAATGTACGCATGAACCTCACTGAAGGAGGCTTCTACATTACATTTAGTGGAACATTACAGAACAGGCTGATTAATCCTGACCTGGTCCTGCCATCCTCTCTGTGTTAACTAACGTGCTGCTATTGAAAGAAAAGTACTAACTCCATGTGGTTCCCATGCAAACACAAGATAACAACCACATCAGGGCTGGCAGGCTGCACTGTGAGCATGTCGTGCTCTGCAGCACCAAAGCCCAGGCTTAGGAGGGGACTGGATCCCATTTCCCAGGCTGAAGCAGGACCTGAGGGCAGAGTGTGGAAACTGAACTAATTGCAGGATATTGGTCCTCCGATGATTAGAGGAGGGCTTGGAATGCCTGGTCTGTGATGCAAGCAGACCAAGGTGAGACTAATGACGGATGCATTTTTTTTTC